TTTCTGTTTGCATAGATGATTTTTAACACAGTAAAAATTATTTGCAGGACCGTACATATGCACATTGTGTCTGAAAATTTAGGTTTTCTTATAGATCTATAGATTTTGTAAAAATTGACGGATTCCGCGATCTTCCCGTGACCCAGAAATTCAGAAAACGAACGGTGGTATTAATATTGCGAAGATCGGAGATGCGTCCTCGACTTTCGCGTAAGACATCGTCCACGATGCGGAAAAGGGCGGAGGGCAGTGACGGTTGCGTCAGAACAGGAATAGGGGGGGCTGCAGCGCGGGGGTGCAGCTGGGGCGGAGAGTAGGCGCAGCAAGGATGATATCGATTATCCGCGGTCTCTCGCAGCGGCCGGCGCGACGCCGAAAGGACGAATTCTCTTTCCCTCTCTTCGTTCTCTTCTTCCCCCTCCGTCCCGGAAATCTCTCGACGAGGCCGCTAATCTCGTTTTCGCGCGCGCCTTCCGGTCTCGAAATAATCTACAGATGAAAGAACGCAACGGGGTATAATGTCGAGTAAAGTGGGAAAGACGATAATAACGTTAATGCGGCTTATCGATATCCACGGCGGACGACAGAACTTTCCTTTCTGGGAAACATGGGAAAGCTGCTGCGAAATTTACTTTAGTTTTTTACATATATGTAACTTCTGTCTGTTTATTTTTATATCGATATTTTGTTCGATTCACGACGCGAGTTACGAACGACTGCTAAAGTGAAACACCAAAGTATATATACCGTAGCAGAGCTGACACCTGATATATAACACCGGAGTACGAGAGATTTTGGTTTTCTTTTCACCTCGTAAACCCCTTACCGCAAAAACGAACAAAAAGAAAAAAAAGAAACCTCTGCGGTGCGCAACCGAGTTGCCTTGGTGTAACAACTAGAATGCATATTGTCACACAGCGGGATTTTGGCTTTAACAAATATTCTAAAAGCACACATTAATTTTCTATTATCACATCAAGATGACGTTGAAATTCAAGGACATAAGAGATATAGCCGCGACTATATAATGTGTTTATAAAACATTATTGTGAAAAAAATATTAAAAGATATTATAAAGATTTTATGTTACTTTGAATGAAAACAAAAAACAACACATCAAAACTCTCTTATACATATATTGCTTGTATATTTTACATCCTTGAAATATAAAAAATATATAAAACTCGTATATAAAAACATAAAAATATAAAATATAAATTTATAAATTGCGCCCTCAATATATTTATTTAAAGCAATTCATTTGCTTTAATCAATATGCAAAATTAATTTTTGTGCGTAAGAAAAGATATGATAATTGTTATTTCAAAATGCGCACGCAAGACGATAAAAGAAAAAAGTCTTCTTTCACACAGCTGTTCAATTCATTTCGAACTCTGATTATAAAATCAACTTTTTTCGTGACGTGTTTATCGTTTATTATATTCCACCGCGATTTGAAAAAAAAAAATTAACAACAGGAAGCGTTCGTAAAAGATGCGTTTAGATCGATGTGACGTCCTTGACAAACACATGTTATCACATTTTATTCTTAGCGTGTCAACATGATACGAATTGTTTTCAGCGCGATGATAAATAAGAGAAAAACTTATATATTTGAAAATCAAGAAATTATCGCGGTAAAAAAGATTTTCTTTTCATAACGAAAATTTTTATCGTTATTTTTTTGTGTTACATGATAGATTATTGTTTTCTATGCGATAACAACGCGATAAAATGCATAACGATGTTTTTACACGCAGGAAAATTCGGAAGATAACGTCATCGACAAGTGGTCGACCATCAGGCTTGTCGTTAGGCGACTTTCGAGTCTAAAAGAATCCGTGTAAGCTCGCTTTCTCTTTCTCTCGCGCGTTTATTTGAAAGCAGCGATTGCGCTATCAGCGCCGCCCTGATAAGGACACAAACAAAACGACACAGTTATCTGTCTCGAGCAAACGATAAGCAAGGAAAATACGGAATTTTAGGCCGATGCGATATTACAGATCTTCGACGTCATCGAAGTTTCAATTGATAATAAATAAACGCTCTCTGTACACAAAAGAGAAAAACTCTCGAAAAAAAAAAAAAATAATAATTTCTAGTTTTGGTACAACTATTTCCCAAAGAAAAAAAAATCTGTTTATATTCCTGTATTTATATACATACTATTATGTGTTCAGATATACCTCGATTCAAATATTCTCTGAATTAACATTCTGTGATTCGCACAGCTATGAAGATAATGTTTACCACATTTATAAATAGATTATTCTCTCAAACATTAGAAATATTTTCGTGAAATGTCTTAATTGAGACACATATCGAGACACACCACAATCATCACAACGGATTTTAGAAACATGCTTATATTGCGCTGCTCTTAAATTCGCTTGCTCGCATATGCGTGCGTCACAAGGTGTATGTCCGATGACCTAGCGGTGCGTTGCTCATTAACCATCACGTATTAACACGCCACAAATTAACGCGCGATCCGAAGCCAATTACGAGCGAGCAAAGTGCGAAAGGATATAATTAAACCAGTAAGATCGGAGAGAGGAAAGAGACAGAGAGAGAGAGACGTTTAGATGTTTTCTAGCAAAAGATTATTCCGAGTTACAGTTGTCTCGCAATTAATCTTCTCCAAATTCAAGTCTAAAAGACGCAATAATTTACTGTTTAATTGCATTATATATATATATATATTATTCAATTAGTATTACTACCTCCAATTTTTCTTTAGTATAAACCGCAATGCGCGCACTGTATCGTATCATCAGTTTGAAATCTAAAATGTACAAAAATCACCCGGTATAAATTATTTAATTATTGCATATCCGACAAAAACTACGCGGCACAAGAGAAGTTAAAATCAGTAACGCTCGTCGCACGAGATGAACAGCTGTTTTGTGCGATGACTCTTCCCGGCAACGACCGCGACCAAGTAGTTTGAACTCGTTCATCGCGCGCGCGATAACCTTTTCCGATTGTGTATATTATGTGTATATATATATATATATATATATATTGAGGAATAAACTGGTAAGTATGTGTTCAACGAGAAAGGTAAATTGCTGAGAGAATTCGCGCGCTAATTTCACGCGAAACTCGTATAACCAGCGTGTAACAAACAAATTACTCTTTAAAACATTTCTTTATGTACATGGGTATATATAAATTACAGTAAAAAAATTAAGTAAAAAATCAAATTTCACAAATTTAAAACTTTTCACAAACGTCAGTGTTGTCTCGGGTCCGCTTTTTTCATAAGTGAATAGAACCAACTAGACAATAACTTCAAGGTTTTTTTCGGGAAAACTGACAATGTAAGTCTCCCGTCGTGTAGAAATTCGGCATTATTACATTTTGGAATGTTTTTCACTATTCAGTCAGGGTAGTGAACTCGAATGGTCCATCGAATTTCTAGCATTCGGCTTCTCATGTTCCGAGCTAAAATTAGCAACCTGTACATCGAGAGAGAGAGAGAGAGAGAGAGAGAGAAAAAGAGAGAGAGAGAGAGAAAGAGAACGCCGTTGCAACTTGCAACTCGACTGTCTGTGCTACCGCGTTTCTACTCTCATCTAACACACAGACACACATGCCTTTCTAAAGACATCCTTTTTGGCTTTCCTGTTATATAGCCATCGGCATCGTTTTAACTATGTAACATTCACATGATTTATCAGAGTATCTGCGCGCACATGCACACATACACATACATACATACACACGCGCGCGCGCGTGCGTCACATAAGTTAAAAAAATAAACGCAAACTTACAATTTATCTAACAGAGTTACATTGATATTTAATCACATAGATCATCAGATTCTGTAAACGTTATCGGATAGTCGCAGAGATAGTAAAGTAGGAAAAAAAATATGCTGCTGAGAAGCGACTTGGAGACAGATTTGAACGTCTATCGTGGCAAGCGAGAGAGAGAGACAGAGAGAGAGAGAGAGAGAGAGAGAGAGAGAGAGAGAGCGAAAGCGAGCGAGAGAGAGAGAAAGAGAAGAGCTAGACGAAGAGAGAAAACGCACACAGCAGAACGAGGCAACAGGAGGGCAGAAATACGGCAGGCAGACATGGTGAGACAGTCGAAAGGGGGACGAAGGTTGAACGAGAGAGACAGAAAGAAAGAGACGACTTGGGTGGGGCAGCAGCAGCCAGACAGACGCCCCGCGGCAAATTGTCAAACTACACCGGCGGTTTTACAACCCGCCGTGTAACTCGGTGTCGATCTTTTCACCTCTTTCCCTCCCTCTTCATCTTCCCTCGCGCAAATCACAAATTTCCCTTCCGTGAATACTCGTTCAATTCTCAAGGCCGTGTATGTACGCGTGCCAGAGAAATGCCAATAAAGCACCCCCGCGGAAAGAGAGAAACAAAGACAGAGAAGGCATGAATAGAAGAGGTTAGGTTAAGGTAGGTTATATACAGGGATTAGGTTAGGTTAAGTTAGGTGTCCTTTCAGCTGCAACGTATCACGCACTTGCAATCTAGATAAGACACGAGCATTTCGTGAAGAGTAGATAAAGAGGGAAACTCCAGGTGATTAAAAATCCTGAAAATGCGTACTGTGCGATAAAAAATTGAGATACGTCTTTGAGATCTCGATGATTTTTTTCCTTTGGAGAAAAAAACGACGATAAAAATGTAAAACGAAATGTAAAACGCAGATATATATGCGACGTGTAACAAAAGTACTCCTCTCTCTCTCTTCCTACCTCCGCAAAAAAAGAAAGAAAAAAAAAAACTATTGAAGATAGCACGGGAAGAAGCGAAGACACACGGCTCTCTTCGTCATCGGCACGCCACGTTAGCATGCGCTCGCGCGCACGGCGAAGCTGCGCGAAGTAAGCGGCGAGTTGCACGCACACTGCGCACACGCCGCTGTCGTCGGTCAAGAGAGATAGATGGACGGATGGATAGATAGAATATCGTGTGTGTGTGTGTGTGTGTGTGTGTGCGTGTGTATGTGTGTCGCACAAATCGTGTACTCACCATCATTTTGTTATAATTGAGCTTCCTAGCGGCTACGTTTTCCATTCTCACGGACATGCTCGCGGACTTGGGGTGTCCGTCGCGTCGTCCGTCGAGATGAGGACGATACGGTTGCGGCGTCGCGACGAAATAACAAAATAACAATACGCCGGCGCGACGTTGCGCAGGCTAAAAACCACCGTCGTCGGTCGTCGTCGTCGTCGTCGTCGTCGTCGCTGCCGGTCGCTTTCGCGCCGCCGCTCCGGTTCCTTCACCTCCTCTACCTCCTTCTTCCTCCCGCCTCCGACGTCTTTCTACTTTGCTCGCTTCGTCGGTGGCTCCTCGCCGTATCCCTCGTGCGTTCTCGTCTGCTGTCCGGCTGATGATGAACGACGACGTCGTTCGTCGCCGTCGCACTGCACCACCGCGTACGAGAAAGAGACGAAATCTCTCGATCACCGGCTCGCACTTGGTCGGTTAACTGAACAGAGAAAAATCACACACTTGTATAAGCGCGCTCGCTTACAACAGCAGCACGCCGCGCACTGATCCACTATGGGGGGGAAAAAAAAAAAAAATAAAAGGAGAGAAAAAAAAAAACTACGAACACGTCTCGCAATTCATCCTATTGCCCGACGGGGAAGTAGAATAAACTCAACGTAGCGAGGAAAGGAACATGAGAGAAATGGAGGAAACATGCGCGCGTGTAGCTGACTGAGACTGTAAGAATACCGGGCGAGACGCTTATGCCTCGGCGTGCAAGTACCGACGAGGGATGGCCCAATGGCGGCGTAGGAGGGGCTTGGGGAGGGTAGGGACTGGTACTGTATCTATGGTTTTAACGCACCATCGGACCAGCCGTTGACGTCGTTAAACGAAATCCGACGACAAATCACTTTGCGTTGTTGGATTGAGTGGGACACAATAAGAAAAGAGAAACAAGGAACAGCCAGGAGAAAGAGGCGAACTTGTGCGAACGGTTAGATACGAAGAGGAATGCGGGAGAGGGGAGGAATAGAAAGAGAGAGAGAGAGAGAGAGAGAGAGAAAGACAGAGAAAGAGAGAGAGAGAGAGAACGCGTACGTTAGCGATTTTGCACGGAGGAAGAAGCGAGATGGATCAGCGAGTGAAGAGGGGGAAGAGGGGAGGTAGGGCGATAGGGAAGACAGAAAGATAGAAAAGAAAGGGTGTGAGAGAGAGAGAGAGAGAGAGAGAGAAAGAGAGACACACACAGAGGCCGCTGCCGAGCCGATGCCGAGCGACGGATGTCAAGAGGGTGTGTCGTGGATCGAGCGCACTTTTCACCACTTACTATTCCAAACTATATCTGGTCGCTATTTAACTACAAGACAGCACACAACCGGCAGCCGGTTGTGCTCTCTCCACCACCACTCTGTTGCCGCTTTTGCGCACCTTTTCCTCGTCGTGGTAGTCGCAGTTAACCTTCCTTGTTTAACTTCCGTACAAGTATCAAACGCACGCACTCACGCACCGCACACACCCGACGAATGTCTCAAAGAGAGAAAAAATAAAAAAATGAGGAGAGAGAGAGAGCGCGCAACGCTGCGCTGCGCTGTGCGCCGCGCCGCGAAACGGAGAGACTAACGGCGCCCCGACCGCCGTAGACTGCACCGTGTAAAGAAACGGAGAGGAGTCGTCGCGCCACCGCTTATCGGCCGTTCCTCGTTTACAAACGCGTTGCCGTTCGTTGCAACTTGCTTGTTCGGTCGCCACTGTCGCCCGAGCGGTTGGGAGGCGGATGGCGCACGCTGTCCCGAAAGAGCTTCCTCGAACGATCACGGCGACGAGGTCCTCGCCAACTTTAAAATTCTTATCCGTTGCTCTCCGAAACACGGAGAAACAGAGAAAAATCCAGCCGATATACTGCTACTTGCTTTATGTTTTTTTGTTCGTGTCGTTGTTCTCGGCTCTTATTACGTTTAACAAACTACCGCCACTCGCCTTTAGTAGTGATTGCCTTCGCGAAGCAAAACGACCGCTTGTGCCATATCCTCTTGTTTCTTCTCGTCGTTATCTTCTTTCTCCGCTGTCGCTCCGCGCGTGTAATCTCGATATCTCGTTTCCGCCCGGTGTTTACTTGCTCTTCTCTATGTACTTCCCTCTCTCTCTCTCTCTTTCTCTCTCTCTTCTTGCGTATCTTAACTATCGTCTACTGTAGTAGGTAATACAAACGAATTCTCTGCTCGTCAACGGTCTCGCACGAATTGCACCGCATTCGTTCTCGCGGAACACACTACTTAAAAATTTTTTTTTTGTTTTTCGCTTTACGGCGCGTTTTTTTAATACAAAAATAGAACTTGCGTATGGAGCGTGTAGTACGTGTGTGTCTCTCTCTCCCTCGTGTTTCCCTTAAAATTAATGTACAATTGATTAATTGTTACTATAGGAAACATTTAGTGTGTGTGTTGTCTTGTTGGTAGAGACTAAGCTACTGCCCGGCAAGGTGCGCCCATCTTGCCCGAAACTGACGGGAATTGCCGACGGACGGCGCTGATCGCGGTCGCCATCATTCGCTGGGGCTCCGGCGGCCGCGTCTGTCTGCGTTGCCGCCACTCAACACACACGCAGCGTCGAGTCGCGCTTCGGTCGGACACGCGGACGTCGAGCGAGAGGCGACGAGCGCGAGCGACGCGATCGCAACAAGGACGCACGGATAGCCGTAACACGGAGAGGCGAAGTGTACCAGTCGATGACGTAGCGTTACCGGCGAACTTCAGCCCTCAGCAGTTGGCGGGCGTGCGAGCCGCGCGGAGCGCCACAGTGGTTGCGGATAGAGGTTGGAGGAGCGAGGGGATAAGGGAGAGAGAGAAACGTCGAGCGCGAGACGAAGAAGGAAGAAGGGAGAAGGACGTTCATTACGCTCGCTCTTGGAGTCCTGCCGTGCCGAACTTGGCCGAACTAGCTGAAAACAGATCGCCACGGCTCATCATCTACGCTTTTTGATGGAGAGAGAGAGAGAGAGAGGGATAAAAGGCGCGATGCGCAATAATGTTCTTTAAATGCTGTTTTGTGGAGAAAAGGATGAGGAAAAAAATGAAATGTAGGAAGATAGAAAGAGAGACGGGGGATGAGAAACGGTCTGTAAAAAGGTAAAAAAATTTTATATACATAAGCTTGTGACGAAAATAATTTAAGAATAACCAGATCGCAAGTCCACAATGATAATAAAGATTGTAATTATATTGAAGCTTAATAAGAACTTGGTAAGGGAAACGCTACACGAGAACAAGGAAATGTGTACAGAAAAAAAAGACGCTATGATAGTGTGTGTACACACACATCTCATCTTTGTTCATCCATTTATCATATCGCGCAACCGACCGACCATCATCGTGTCATTCCGTGTTATTCAGTGTGTTGTCAAAGAGCACATACACACATACACACGCACACGAGTAGATCTGTTTATATATTTGAATCGATAACATTCAATAAAACCAAACGAGACAACGTTCGTGAACTCACACACGAAAATGTGTTGTGACAATTCGCGAGTTCTGCCTATCTGAAAAGGGAGTTGAACAGTTTCTTTGACAAAAGTGTCTTACATATCATATAATAAGAGTTTTTTTATTTATTTTTTTTAATTTTTTCTGAAGTGTTATTTAAAAAAAAAAAGTGCTTTCCTTTTCTCACGTATTTTTTTGCAATTTATATAGTTGTCTAACAATAAGACAAACGACAGTGATCAAAGGAAAGCAGCGAGTAGAGACGAAGAGAGCAAGAGGAAGAAGCGGCTCTCGCGCGCTCTCTTTGCAGGCCGAAGGATCGATTGTTCCGGTCCTTTCGTCCCTGCAGGGGTGCTCATGGAGAAATTTTGCACCTGGCTAGCGTACATTTGTATTTCACGCCAAACGTGAAAGAAATAAAACAAGATTATCTTTGCAATAAAATTATTAATTTGGTAAGTAGACATCAAATTAACATTAATCGAAAACATTAATTCGAAAATCTTAAAAAACACGTATTTAAAAAATAAAATATATAAAAATTAAAGAAAAAATGAAAGTGTGTGTGTAATTTTCTCAAGTAGTAATGTCTCCTCAACAGTGCAAAATAATATTAATACTAATTTATATTCCAATCCTCTGCGTTCTTTGCAACGATCAAACGATGGAGGGAAGAGGAAGTGATCCTTTTCATTTTGTTCTCTCATATGCGCCTCTTCTCGCTATCTCTCTTCATCCTTTTCTCTTTTCTATCTTCTCTCTTTTTTCATATCCGTCGCTTTTCTCTTTATACACGAAGTTCCTTCGCACCTTTGGCTCACAAAGCGGGAACGTATTTATCGATCGATCGCAGGACGACCTCGCTCATGTCTCCTACTCCTCCTGGAGGTCAGGAGTCGGCTGGCTAGATTTTCCTCTCTTCCTTCTTCCTCTATATTCTACCAACGTGAATTTCTCTCTTTTTCCTCGCGACGCGGTGCGGTACGACGCGACGCGACTTACTACGGACAGCATCCCTCCGACGCCGCGACACCCCTCACGCTCTCGCTCACGCGGTCGTCGACTCGCACACGCGAGTCTCATTGACGAGCCTCCGACGTGCGCGCGCGAGCGAAGCGACGCGCGGCGTCTCGTGTAGCGTAGGAGACGACGTCGTTATCTTCATCGCGCGATTGACCGTGCAATTGATCCCGATTTAATAGCATTTCGACGATTGGTCGAAAATGAGAAAGTTTTATTCTCGAGAGAAAAGCAAAAGAAAAATTTATTTCTTTGATCTTAGCGCGCGATCTCCAAATTGTTTTGTCAATTTGAGAGAAATTACGATAAATATAACTTCTCGGAAATAAATATTTGATATATATATATATATATTTGTTAAGAAATTTATATATCTCTTGCTCTGACACAGTCTCGCCAAATTGAAATTTTAGAAGCTCGATAATATTGCACGTGTAATGAATACAATGCAATTTGTGCACAATGTTACGTACCACCTATATTCTCTCATAGTTCATTGTCTTTACAGAGACACGAACGTCTTGTCGCGTCGCAAAAATATCCACCAATATTGGCACTTGTACAAGCGTTGCGTATTTGCGTCGCTCTTCAAAGCCTTGAGCACGAAAAACACGTCTTGCAAGAATAAATAAGGAATATGTTTAAGAAGTACAACTGATGATAGCGAGACTCTAAACAAAAGGATGAACTACTAACAGGTATAAGATTACGTTTTTCGAAATACACATACAAAAGCTCCATCGGTGTCTCACTCTTTTTTCTTTATTTCATTTTTCAACACACAATATCAAGCGTAAAAGAAAATTTTCAGTTTAGTATAAGATAAAATTTGTTTTTCAATTGCTATTTCATTAATTTAACGGTAAAAATGAGAAATCGCAAAGCTCTCGATTTAACAGATATAAAGAAAGTTTATAGTTCTCGATGTTACAAAATAACAACAGATATTGTAGATATTTTTTTTTAATTGGCGAGTTTTATCTCTCGCACGGCGCAAAACCGATCATCGCGCGACACCCTGTATGTCGCACCAGACGGTCCTTTCCTCTCACGCCTCCCGGAATCGCGACCCTGTTAAGCGATGCACTGTGCATAATTGTCACAACGCGGCTGTTCGGCCATACGCGGGCGCCTCGTCGCAGTCGAGGACGTCCGGCGACGTTGTTCTTATTGTTAGTCATCGAAACCCCGTGCGTCTCTCGTCGCTTACCTGGATTCGCGCGAGTTCTTCGCCGCCGCGAGACGCGTAAGAAAGCAGGCCAGTCGGTTTTGACCGATGTCTTTTCTCGTGTGCCTGTCGTTCTCGCTGTCTCGCAATCACAAGCCGCACACAGAGTCCACACGCCACGGACAAGGTCAAGGCCGTTAGCCTTCATTCCTTGGCATCCTCCTCCGCGAACCTCCTACAAGCTGTACAGCCTCTCTCTCTCTCTCTTTCTCTCTCTCTCTCTCTCTCTCTCTCTCTCTCTCTCTCTCTNTCTCTCTCTCTCTCTCTCTCTCTCTCTCTCTCTCTCTTTCTCTCTCTCTCTCTCTCTTTCTCTCTCTCTTTCTCTCTCTCCCTTTTTCGTTCTCCTTTCCGTACTTTAAATCGACTTTATATTTATATCTGTTAATGTACAAACTTCTCATGTGCATGTATTCTCGTCTATGATGACGTTCTCTAAAATTTATGTAATTTAAATATTTCAAAACAAATATATTATTCATACAACTATTAAGACCGAAGAATATTTCTAAAAAGCGTTTGAAAAACTGAAACCGTGTCCACGTTTTAGAGAACACGTGAAACTGAGCGAATCTGTCGGGTAGAACGAACGATCTCGCCGACATGATCGGCTCGAGAGCAAGCAGCACTCGGACATTCCGTTGCTGCACAGCTCGTGCGAACAGGTTTCCGAGCGATTGCAAAAAAGCGACGAAAAAAGAAAAGAGGAAAGACGGAGCGAAGAAAAAGGAAAGCACCACGCGCGCGTTGCGCGGAACAGCGAGCTAAACAGAGTCATTCGCGGCGGATCCTTTGATGTAAATAACGAAATCGAGAGATTACAACGGGGGATGTTGTATACTCTTTCCTATTATCTGATCTTCAAACTGTCAATTTTGTTCAATTTTCGTAATATGAGAAAAATGAATCTTTTTTTATGAATATAAATATAGAAATTATCTTTGTGTCATATATTAATCGTTATTTTTATTATGATTATTTACAATTGCGCGACTGTTATTTGTTAATTAAATCGCGAAAATAACGGTTTTTTTTTTTTCAATTTTGTCGATTTATGTCGCGCTTTATCATACATGTTCGACTTCCTCTAATTATGAATCCCCGTCAATAGATAGACGAAATTTTTGGATGCCTAATCGCCTCCGGATAAATCCCACGGGTTGCGTCGAAATTCCCAGGGGGCGAACAGTCGGGTCAACCGGAAGTCAAGGCCACGCGGTCAATCGCCCCGTGATCCGTCGCCGTTATAAATAGATACGGGTATCCCGGTGTGTGTATCTACGTACATATCTGCTGTTCGCACGTCACGTGCCGCGAGATTTGAATATGTATCTCGCGGAGTACTCTTGAACGCTATTTATATATCATCCCTCTTTAGCGGTATACGTTTGTTCCTAAAAAGAAAAAGACATGTTGCTAAATTCTCTTGTTGTTAGATTCTCTTTGCTCTTTTTCAGATAGAATTATTAATCAACTAATTACAAAGCAGAGTGCGTAACACATCCCCGTGTTTTCACAATAACAACTTTTCATATACTCTGTGGGATATATATACACATATATATATCGTTTGTGTACACACACTGATTGGCAACTCTCTCGCGATTCGAAAATGCCGCGAAAATGTTTCCATTAGCGTAATTAATCAGGGGAAGCCGCGTGGCCGCATTTCGTGTTTGTTTTTCAGGAATCACCTCGGGCCAACCCTTTCAATTTCGCTTACCCTTTCTTCCACCTCGACAAAGCTTGGTCGCGGGATTTACCTGGTAATTTGCATACCATTAAAGCGACCGCATCGGCCTACCGCATGACGTTAACGTTTGACGTCGCATCGACGATTCAATCATCTTAATTATCTGCGACAACGCATTGTTTTTCGTGGCGCTATTCTGTGAAATACGACACAATTTGTTGTTAACGAGAGAGAGTGTGAGGTTGTCAGTGTAATGAAAACATTTCTTTATTTATCTGTTTTTTTTTCTTGGATCAATTTTCAAAGAGTCAAAATACTTTTATGATTGCTTGTATTATCTGTATATTTTTATATTATCGTTTTTAAAAGTGTATATGTTAATGTATATTCTTTTTTTCTCTCTCTTTTTAGTTTACATTATTTGTTTTATTATAAAAAAGAAAACCACTAGATAAATAGAAACTCAAAAGCAATTTAAAAACGTCACTTTTTATATGAGTATCAACATGCAAAATTGATAGATAATTGTTTCGAAACTTTATTTAATTTNTTTTTTTTTTTTTTTTTTTTTTTTTCGACAATTTTTCACGTTTATCCGTTGTTTTCTCCGTTTATATTTATTTACTCTGTTTATGTATTTACTGATGTTTTTACTAGGATAGAGAAACGGAGAGACAGAAAGAGAGAGAGACAGACACATGCGCGCCATTTCGGACGCGCGTTTTTGTCTTCTGGCGAAAGTGGTGGTCGATATCCGCGTCCGGTATTTCGAGGCGCCTCTCACCCTCGTTGCAGGCACCACGGTGGAACCCCCAAAGATCGTTCGGGCAATGACCCCGAGATTATATATTCCGCCGGTGTGCGAGGTAGTGCTGTGCAGGAGGGGTTTATATGCCCTCCGAATTCGCTCGCGAAATCAGCACGCAGAATCAACCCCGATGTAACGTTGTGTGTGAAAACTTTTCTTTCTTTCATTGTATTTATTTTTTATCGAATAATAGATTTTAAAAAATCGTCGTTTACAAGGGCAAGAGAGTGACTTATCTCTCTTTGTACATACACAATTAAAACTGTCCATAAAGTTCATAATAAGAAAAGAAAGTTATTTCATTTAAGTTTGTAAAATTTTAATACACTTATATTATCCATGCAATTGTTTTAATTCCTTAGAGAATCGATTTTGTTACTCTCTTACTAAGGTTCTTTTCTCAGTGTTTCTTCGAGACAATTTGTCTTTGCATCACTCTCTTGTTTATTTTTTCAATTATATAAATCATTATCACATAATTATTTTCTCTTATCGTCGAATAATGTACTAATTATTCCAGGTTTTCCTTATGAAGGCTTATCCCAGAATAGTTTCATAGCATTTTTCCGCACATTTTGATTGACAAAGTCAAAAAAGTGTTCGAACTCATTGATTTATCAATTTTTCGTGATTAAAAAATATATTGCGCACCCAAAGAGATTATTACACACTCATTGCGGATGATGTATTATCCGTGTCTCGCGCGCGGAAAGGTTCTCTCGTTCGCAGTAGACCGAAGGGAGAGCAGTGCGCAAAGGGACGAAAGGACGAGAGAAGAGAGCGGGGAGGAGAAAAGCCAGAGAGAGGCAAAGAGAGACAGAGAGAGAAAGAGAGGACTCCGCGCACTTCGTCGGGGTGGTTGCCCTCGTCTGCGCTTTGTGGGAAATAGCCGCTCAATAACGCGTAGGTCCTCCTCGTCCGCCCCTGCTCACCCTCTCTCGGCGAGGCAAGGGCCGATGCCCCAAAAGACAGACGTCGAACTACCGTTGCCCTATCCGTCCCGTCATCCCTTGGAAAAGGTTAAACTTTGTCCTTCCTCCTCGTCTCTTCGCTTCTGCTCTAAGAAATTTTATGAGCAGAAACAAAAAAAAAAAAAAAACGCACCGCATAATCAGTCGCGTTTGCAAGTGGTTGCAAGAGTTGTCGCCACTGAACACACACGTGTGTATAACGAGAGAATTTAAGATCTTTAGTAAAAATCATTTTACTGAAACTACAAAAGACTTGTTGCAATTAGTCTAAAACCAAAGAACTACGGATTAAACATTTGATCGATCAAAGGGAGAGAAAATTATTCTCGAATTATTAGTCGCGTTTGTGCAACTAGTTGCTACAAATATACATATGTGTGTATTCAGATATTTTCGTAAAACAGTCTCTAAATCTCCCACGTGAGGCGTGAGTTTCGTGATTTTACAACTAAAGCGCATGATCATCTCGCGACAATTTCCAGCGAGAAGAAAAAGGGATGAGAATGCAGGTTTTCCCTTATGCATTTTTTTTTTTTTTTTTTTATCTCGCGAGTTCGCTGACTGAGATCGATAGGTGCTAACCCATCGCGCGCGAAAATACGGTAGGAAGGAGAGAGAGAGGGTGGCGGGAAACAGATCACGGTGTGTATCGATCTCGCCCCTAGGGACTCGCGGCAGGATTAGGACGTCACGGTAGCCACCCACGACGAGGCGGCGAGCGCAGGAGCGGCGCGAGGACCTCGTGGCCCTTGGCAACCGGTTGCCAGGAATCGTTTATGTGCACCTCTCTTTCTCCTCGCGCGCGTCCCGTCATCTTCTCGTTTCATTCTACTTCGTCACCGAAGGACGACACGTCGATAACGTAAAAGCATTCTCGCGAACGAAACGATCGCCGTAGTGTTCTCGCGCAAAAAGAGCAAACAAATTGGAAAACAAGAGACAAGACACAACATTTCATGAATTATTAATCCCTTTTTTTTTCTCTTCATTTCTGTCGATTAAAAATTAAATTCCTTTAAAGAGTTGATTATTTTTTATATGTAAAGAACAATTTTCCTGGTAAAGCGATCGGAGCGTTCTCTGAAAATATAGCCAGGCGAAGCCGGACGACTGTGTTTAAAAATGTTATGGATGTTGGCTTGTATCGGTTGTTTCAAAAATGAGAGTATTTTACATAACTTCTAGCTAACAACTTTAAGAAAATATATTTACTATATTAGATTTCTTGGTTTTTAATATACTCAGACACTCCGAACACTAGACAACTTATAGATATGCATCTTGTATTGATTTCAGTTACGTACATAAACAATAATTTATTTCTCGGTGGTGCTGTAAAACCGCATATAAATTCCATAGCTTAAAATTCAAAATTATATACGCGTAAGTACGGAAGAATGCAGACAGGTCCGAGATGAGCGGTGAGATTCGCTCCTGCGACATCAACCATCCAATGACGCAACTTGTGCAACCCCCTCGCGGCCTCCAACCCCGCGCCATTCGCGTGGTACACCCATCCCGTTTCCGCATACCACGCGCATACCCTCAACCTAACCTAACCCTATATCACTTTCTTAGGTCGTTGATCCTGCGGCCGCGCGAGCGATCGAACGCGTTTTTTTTTATAAGTTTTTATGTATGAACGGTTTTCGCAAAAGACACGACGAATCGATCTGATTCTCTTATTTGGAATTACAATTTCTTACATCTTACACTCAAAACACGTCTATTCGCTTTCCGCACATGATTAGCATTTTAAGGATTAAATATTTAAGGAAAAAATGCATGCAAGATAATGCTCAAAATATCCAAAATTAATTGCAATAATTATTTGTTCTAGTTTGCGCGTATTTTTTCTGGTTTTTTCTTTTGTATACGAATTACCTAGCGTTTTTGACTGTCGCATTCTCTTATTGTCGTATATATTAAATTAAATATATGTATATTTATTCTTCTTTCATCCTTTTCTCTCTTTATAAAACGTGAAGTTCTTTACATTTGTGATACTACTGTGTGTTTTTCAGACAACAGAAACTGCTATTCTAAATGCTTTTAAAATCCTACTCTTTTCTCAAACAAACGTGTAATTTCGGACTTGGAACCGGCGAAGTTACATGTCTGACTCTGACGAAAATACGGCAGTTTCAACTTTCAACGCTACAACGTGCACCACAGATAGCACCACTTCGTCGACATGTTTTTGAACATGGCCGAGACGTCGAGCAGCGATAATCGAGAAAGAGAGAGACCGCAATTCGGAACGCGAAACTTACCCGTTGACGGGAACATCTTCGAGCACAATGCATGGTATGTCAAATCTTCGCGTGCAATTTCAAGTGTTCTATTCAATTTAACGTTGGATTAAATACACACATATATATTTGGCGTGTCTTGGCATAACCTATGGAATTAAAAAAATTTAACATTTGGTTTTCTAAAAAGGGACAATGTCACATGGGATGAAGAACAAGAGAGGCTGGCTCAACAAAAGGTGAATGAGAATTCCGTCGTGACGATATCGTCTGAAGAACTGTTAAAATATGAAACTGAAGCGAATAAATATTGGGACAAATTTTATGGAATACACTATAATAAGTATGTAAAGCCTCATCCTTTTTCTTCTCTATGATTGTGTATTAAACAATTTATATGTACTTAAATAGTAAAACCTTTGAGTAAATATATACAAAATCTATTTCAGGTTTTTTAAAGACAGACATTGGTTACTAATTGAGTTTCCAGAGTTAGCATCTAATACAGTGAAACAAGACACAGAAAAACCTATGAGAGCCGCACTTACCGAACAAGATAGGATTTTTGGAGACAAACACATAAAAATTCTTGATTTACCATGTAAAGATGGTTGCAGAATATTTGAAATAGGCTGTGGTGTAGGAAACACTGTGTTCCCTATACTTATGTACAATACAGATCCAAAGTTGTTTGTATATTGTTGTGATTTTTCTGCAAAAGCCATTGATATACTGCAACAAAGTCCTGCTTATAATGTAAATAGGTAAAATATCTCTAAAGTTATGTTAAATAATTTTATAAAACGTACAAATAGCTTTTTGTGTGAATTTCTTCCAAATGTTCTATGTACAAGTTATGATTATTTCAGATGTAAAGCTTTTGTTCTTGATATAACTCAAGAAACTTGGACGACTCCTTTTGAGCCAGAAAGTTTGGACATTGTTGTTCTTATATTTGTATTGTCTGCTATTCATCCTGATAAGTATGTTGTTATCTTTTGTGTTATTAATTAGAAATTCGAATTTTTTGTTTTATCTATTATATATTTTTCACATATTCGATTTCGTTATTCGTATTCTTCTTTTCATTGTCTTGATATATTGACAGCTATGAAATATTTCGCTGTATAAACGTATTATTTTTATATTGTGTTTTGTACAGAATGCAAACCGTTGTGCAGCAAATACACAAGTACCTAAAGCCAAGAGGAATAGTTTTGTTTCGTGATTATGGTAGATACGATCAAGCCCAGTTAAGATTTAAAAAAGGCAAATGTCTTGGTAAAAATTTTTATGTACGTGGAGATGGCACCAGAGTATATTTCTTTTTGCAAGGTAATATTCAAAACTTTCTGTTGATAACTTTCTATATAATAGAATATTATTAAATTGTCTATTATTTTAGAGGAAGTTAGAAAATTATTTATTTCTAACGGCTTCATCGAAGAACAGAACTTTGTTGACAGAAGACTGCAAGTTAATAGAGGCAAACAATTGAAAATGTATAGGATATGGGTACAAGCAAAATATCGAAAGGTTTCGTAAATAGCAACTGTATTATTTAACGTATTTTACTTGTTACGTGGAAAGAAAAAGTTATGTCGAAAAAGACATAATGTTAAAAAACATAATGTTAAAATAAAAAAAGATATTCTTTATACATACGTTGATTTTTTCTATCTTTTATGTGTGTGCAGTCAATTTATATTAAAACTTGGATGTTTACTTAAATACAAAAATATTCATTTATAAATATTTATTTAGATGGAATTTAATGAAATACGTTATTTATTGCAAATAAATTTTCTTGTATTTTGATATATTATTTTGCAATACGATACGTTATTTTGCAAATTGCACGCATACATACCTGTGTTTGATGTGACATTTTATTGGTAGCCAACAGTGCAGCAGATGCCATCTAGAGGTAAGTGAGGAAAAATGTAGTGGAACACTTAATGTAGATTATTTGTGTTGGATAGTTCTCTCCAACCTTTAAGTAACGAAACAGATATTACCGATCTTTCGATATAAAACTAAACACACGGTGTGATCATTATTTTTTTAAACACGATTATATCGATCGGTATTGCTATATAATACAGCTATTATATACAATTATTAAAATACTCATCTATTATGATGGACGATTACAGCATAGAATTGGATCGGGAAACCGGTCTTTATTGCACGTTGCACTTATTCACCGATGTTACAAATATCTCCGAAGTATGCAAAGAAGTTATAACCGGTAAGCTTCGTTGCTGTGTAGTGAAAGCTTCGCTCGTGGCCGACGCTTTTCAAGCGGTAGTAGCCGCGAACAAAGCCGCTCTCAATGCCAAGCAAAGTCGATTGGTCACCAAAACCGTGTACACTGAAGTTTTATTTTGCCTGTCCATGTCCAAGAACATTTCACGTTCTTTGATCGAGTTCGGTATCAGTGACAATGATAAAAATATTCTGGTGATACTGATACACAAGGCAGGTGAAGAACAAGCTATGTTAAAAGAACTTTTGAGGTGCATCAAAGGAGAGCGAATAGCCATTTCGAGGATACAAGAGTTTACAGATACAAATCTCGTGAAGAAAACTTACAAGATAGATGAAGACGAATTGCGCATTTCTAATCTCACCGATGCCGTTGTATCAAGAATTAGTTGCAAAGAAATTATGCTATCAAAGTAGAGAACAGAAGAGGACAGAAAAATGCAGCAAAATAAATCTAAATGTCAATTATCATTAATGATATAACAGAAACTTTATTTGACAAAAATATATAGGTTTAAATAATTGTTAAACGTATAAATATGTCAATGAAGCAGTTTGTATACTTTCGTACTTGTTTAAATTATAATTACTATAATTCCTTGAATAATTATTTTATAAATTTTGCCTCAGCAAACTTGCCAGTACACTAACATATCCCAAAACTAAGAAATAATAGATTAGATATCTTATGAAAGAAACATCTATATGTATATGATCAACAATATATGTCAAATACAAATTATCTAGTGTTGAATTGTTGATGCAAATTTTTAAAATCATGTTGAAGAAAGCATTGATAAAACTTTTATTAAATTCTGACGACTCTGTTATCAAAACATGTCATTCATCATCTCTTCATCATATTCTTCCATATCATCTCTGCAAATAAAAATTCAGAGTAAATATTTCCAATTCGAAACTGTTCAGATCAACTCGAATGTCACAAGAGATCTTGTTAGGATTATTTGTCTACCATCTAATTCAACTTTACAGTGTGAACAAAAAAATATTGATATGGATAGAAGACAGTTAGGGAAGGGGAGGAGAATATGTGTTAATGGGAGATGTACTTTTTTTTCTTTTTTTTTTTTTTTTATTCACTCATAAATAAGGCCAAAGATGCGTAGAAAATAATCGTTATATCCGCGAGGATATGGTACACATCGAAATCCTCCGCGGAAGCCAAGAGTAGTAAACTTTAAATACAGCACCCCTTAAACACACACAGAATTTGTCAGTAATGCTTTCGAGACAGTTTATTACGAATACCTCGGCAAATTGCACATCTCGCAAAACGCTAAATCCGCGGCATTGAGAAAAGTGCAATGGGGACAAGTCCAGAGAGCTCGACCGGGTGTTGGATTTGCAATCGGTTCAGTACCGACGCCTATTCCGCCACTGGCCTCCGCAGCCACAGACGACGACGTTCTCGAGCCACTGGGAAAGGATGCTGTTTGCGAAGATTGCGACGACGTAGAGACAGATATGAGCTGATCTACCGTCGCCCAATGCTCTGACTGTGACCATTCCAGCGCTTTTTGTTTATCTTTAGTGCGAATTGCTTCGAGCAATGGCGTCATATGATCCTGCACAATAAAATAATATATTCATTGTAGATATTGATAGTTATCATTGCTTGATCAATTTTTAATTGGACTTTAGTTGCGTTTTTTAAAAATTCATCTCTTTTTATTGATAATACCTTCATTGGATACATATCCATAGTAGCAATGAAGAGAAGCAAATGAAAGTCGGAAGTTGCCTCAAGAAATTGATCCCCACTGAATTGTTGCATGTAAGTGCATAATGAATTGAATTCCTGGACTTGTCCATCAATTTGTCTAAAATTGAAAAGAGACATATATTGATGTGTATTATATAATTGTATAATTATAATAGAATTAATATATACATATGCCTATAATTTTATATATTTATTTTTATAATATATGTAGAAAGGGCCGATACGGAGTAAAATACTAGGTGTTGATGTATAAATGATAATCTTTATTTAAAAATGCCAAACGTTTCGACTCTTGGTTTGAGTCATCTTCAGTGGCATACAAAAATCTACATAAATAAATTAATATAAAAATTACAAAAAACCAAAGAAACAGAGCAGAAAAAAGTCAAGCAACAATTACAACTCACCATTAAGATAAATATAGGCAGTACATCACCTTGCAATAAGTAAGAGATATTAAATAGTTGATATTCATCACAATGTTTCAAATAACCAAAAATGTTCTCTTCCCATGTCTCAAGTTAGGTGGTAAACAAGAGACATAAACTACACAACTGATGAACATTTTTGGTTATTTGAAACATTGTGATGAATATCAACTATTTAATATCTCTTACTTATTGCAAGGTGATGTACTGCCTATATTTATCTTAATGGTGAGTTGTAATTATTGCTTGACTTTTTTCTGCTCTGTTTCTTTGGTTTTTTGTAATTTTTATA